ATAAGTAGAATACTATAATAACATTTATTTGTTGCGCTTGGTAATTTTCTTACATCCTTTATCAACTTGTTTATTTATTGTAATTTAGATTTGATTACTGGGTGAGCGAGTATTGGTTGAATAACTGGGTGGTAATATTTGTTTAGGTAATAATGTACATTTATATTCATAAAAAAATCTAGTACCGTCATTTACTCAGTCACCTTGTTTTCGTTTCAACTAAGCAATAGCGCGTATCTAAACTACCTAGACATTTATTCTTTGATCCAAACATTAGTTTGCATTCTACACTATGAATCGTAATGGAACTAGGTAAAATATCTCTATGCTAAATTGTTCTTCTTTGAGGTAACGTTGTTTTGTTTGACGCTTAAATAATATATAAGTAGATTTCTATTTTGAGCGTGTTAATAATTAAGCCGAACATTTTGGAATTACCATATATATTTCCTGATCAGTTACAACTCCCTTCTTCATCAATTGTCTTTCAGTTTGTCAGTACCTGCAGGACTCGTATTATTTTTTTAGGAACATTTGGCGTGCAATTTTCTAACTCCATTTGGTATCCAACCAACGTCACGTTGATTCTGGTGGGAGAATAGTGTAGAAGTACTGGATTCCAACAATATGATCTTTGTCGCTGAACGTATAATTACTCAGAAGATTTACACTTCTCATGTAACACTGAGAGAAAGTTAAGAATATTGAACATGGCAACAGGCGATCAAAATGGCATGTTTTGGGCACATTTTATGAACTTTTACTTTGTGTATCAAATATATTACTCTCTTCTCACATCAAATGTATTCGCCAGAAGTGCTAGACTTCCTATTGCTGATCGTCACGATCGAACGAGTCATTGTAAACAATGATGGGACTTACACATAAGATCTTACAGACCATGTGATCGCATCATGACAAATCTAGGATATTAGGATTAGGTCTAATATCATAGTAGTACTAGTATTGGACTAGACCATAATTCTACAACCATATCGAAGGCCACGGCAATAATCCCCGCCAGTATACCAAATTCATCTAACACAGGCTCGGCCGGACGCGTGATTATGAAAGCCATATCCTGAGCTCATACACTAACGAAACCACTGGCTATTGCTAATACCCAATATCTGTTAGCGATAAGTAGAAGTGGGTAAACGTTGAAGAGCGGATTTGCTAACACACTTCAAACTACACTCTGTTTGAAAGCCAGAAGACGGACGCCTCTGTAGAGATGCCCCAAGTGCCTCTATAGAAACGTAAGAGGACTGAGGAGAAACTGAAAAAAATCGAAAAAATGTGCTTTCATTTAAATCTCGGGACCAGAGTCTTTATTGAAATTGGTCTATCGCCCAACATCACGAACGAGTAAGGGAACCTACAATATATGACACGTACGGTATAATAGGGTACACAAAACAGGTGTAGTGCCAATATACATCAATAGCCCCTTCAAAGCCGCAACAACACAAAGTACCGATATTAATCGAGGTGACAGAATCATCCCGGTGTTGCCTAAGTGTGAACGGCGAAACGTTATTAAATGAGAGAATATAATGACCCTCCAGAGGTTCGAAAGCCCAGAAAAATTATACAATAGGCGCACTAACAGAAAGTAGTGACCATGGTACAGTCATATTTAACATGATCATAAGCGAAGTACATCAGCAAGACGAGGATGTTCCCTACCTTAGCCACACTAGAGCAGACTACACGATTATGATGAAACACCCTTAGCATTACCCATGACTGAAAGAATGGTGACAGATAACAGTAGAGAACTATGGGTAGTAAGAGACGCTCGTGTATTTTTCGTAGCAAATGTTTCAAAGACAGGTTTCACTGACCCACTTTTATCCTGGCTCTAAAACTATCTATGGAACAGAATGTTTCATAGTAACATAAATAGTGCTCACGCGACCAAGAATGTCCCAACATCAGAAGTTTTACAAGGAATGGTCTTAGGTTCATTAGAAGCGAAGATGATCCTTTTGAGCTCCAAAACATCCGTTCAATGATAGAGGAATGGGCAGTAGACAGTGAGTTAAAACTTAACCTGTCGAAACGTCGTATGATAAACATTCATCTTCATTTGACACAAAGCACTTGCACTCTCTACGCAGAATCCTCCCACAAGCCCATACAGAGCGAGATCCCGGTCCAGTATCTACAGAGAATATAGATATTAGCTCTAAGTAAACAAGGAATTTAGTCAAGGTAAACACGACTCTACTTTGTGCTTTTTTGACTTGGAGCAGTCATCCCAGAGTTGTTCCTAACATTGTTTAGAATGTGCGCACGCCCCATCTTCATGTCTGAAACGTCATTGCGCCACCTCTCTTCCAAAACATGGAACCTCTTGGGCTTATTCTTATTCTGTGTTCATAAACACGCTTATTAAAACATTTGCGTATTTCTATCCCCTTATTTTCTCCTTTTCCTTCTTTAAAGCCAATTCAATATTCTTCTCAATTACACAGGACCTGATATATTATTATCCTTCTATTATCTTTTTTTTCTGGTCAGCGTTTTTTTAGCGAGTTAGTTTTCTACGGGATGGGGACGCTAACCCAATGCCCAACCCTCCTCCTTTATCCGGGCTTGAGACCGGCAGTAGCTCCCGGAGGGACTCCAGGCGGAGTTCCAGATGTTCCTCATACTTACAACTGAGGAACATCTGGAACTCAAAGCAACTGTCAACCAACACCAAGGTCAGGATTTTCAATACAAATGTCAAGACAGTTCTACTGTATGGGGCAGAAACCTGGAGAACTACGAAAGCCATCATCCAGGAAATAAAGGTGTTTATTAACAGTTGTCTACGCAAAATACTTCAGATCCGTTGGCCGGACACTATTAGCAACAACGTACTGTGGGAGAGAACAAACCAGATCCCAGCGGAGGAAGAAATCAGGAAGAAGCGCTGGAAGTGGATAGGACACACATTGAGGAAAGCACCCAACTGCGTCACAAGACAAGCCCTCACATGGAATTTTCAAGGCCAAAGGGAAAGAGGAAGACCAAAGAACACATTACGCCGAGAAATGGAGATAGACATGAGAAAAATGAACAAGGATTGGATGGAACTAGAAAAGAAGGCCCAGGACCGAGTGGGTTGGAGAATGCTGGTCAGCGGCCTATGCTCCATTGGGAGTAACAGGCATAAGTAAGTAAGTAAGTAAGTTCTATTATCATTACTATCTTTTTTCTCATTTTCAAATATGTCATATGTAATGCTAGCGTTAGTGAAACTTAGGGTTATATCCTAGTAAAGATTACATTACTAGTAACGTCTGAGACCTAATAATGGACAATTATTATTTATATATTCCCATGGCATAAATATTCAGTAACTAGACTATATATCTCTGTAGTCCCCTTGTTATAAGCTTTATTTTGACCTAGAACTTGTTATTGTGCGATTAACTGTTCTTAAGCTATGTTCAGTTAATTGACTACTGCCTCCCACGTTCACAGCCACTTTTTAGCTTTGTTGTGTACGAATTTTATCTCCTATTTTATTGTGCGTTGAGGTGTGTTTGGTTGATATATAAACCCAGTATGTCTGAAATAAATGATTCGCATAGTGTAGGCTGTTATTGGCATTCTGGACTCAGCTGTACAGGCTAGGCGAGCAACGGACCAGTAGGGAGGCTAGGCTGATCAGACCGGTCGGACGTCATTGGTTTAATGCAGTATGAAAGCGGATAAATCGTATTTTTGTTGGCGAACAGACCACGTGATAACTAGAGGGCCATAAAGTCACAACACTTAGGTTATATTGCATTTTTGAAGAAATACAAAGTGGTTTCTTCACATCACTTATGTACCCATAAGATGTTTGTGAATAATTGCAATAATAGTGTATGGAGATCGGCAATCAAGTGGGTGTCTGTGCCAAAACATAAATCTTATGAGGACAGACTTTGGCATTATTCTCTCTGATATACAGGAGGATAAGAGGTGATTTGGTGATGGTATACAACATATTAAATACGTCAAACCACCCCGACGCCAGCATATTCCCAGGACAAGCATATTACTCGTATTTGTGATGTTCTCTTAGCCTAGGTGACTACGACGGTCTAATGGATAGCTTTAAAGGAAGATTTCACAATCACGTACTCCCCAAACCAATCTCCTGCCTGTTAATGTAATAACTGCTAGTATCCAGAAACACGACTGTCCTAAGACAAACTCACCCACTGAAATATACGGTATACCTATCCACAAATAACTGCCACACTGAATAAAACTAGTGCAGTTGAGTGGATAGACCACCACATATTAGACATTTAAAAAATACCTGATAATGTAGCGAAGTAACAAATGATCGTGAAGAAATCAAATTTTTGTACAAGCTGGTGACAAAGATATTGGATTCACAAAGCACTGACTAAAAGCGCTTTGATTTTGTGTGCATGCATTTCATGAACTGACACTTCAACCACTGACTACGTGGCAATATCGTTTTAAATAATAAGAGATTCAAGTCACTGTTTCGGTTGAAAATGTTTAAGATTTTATTAACTGTCATCAGTGTACTCTAATTCTGTCCATCTCCGTGAAGCTAAGGCTTGTGAAGAACCTTTGAATGACGTGAATTAGGCCTTGAGAAGGTGAATAATAAGCATTATGATTTATAGTTGATGGTTAGGGTTAAGAATTAGATTTAAAGTTTTCATTGCGAAATGGCATCAGGTCCCAAAGCGCTATTTAGCTACACAAACGATTAAATTTTGAGCCAAAATCCATGATCTGTTTTCTTAAATCTGGTCGGTTCGTCCATAAGTCTTCTCCATTCATTTATTTGCTGATCGACAAATCTAAAACCTCACAGTTAAAATTATGACGGAATGTCATCATATAGGGAAACTAACTACACCCAGGGTGTAAGACATGTTATCTAACAGAGAACTGTGTAACAAACTTTCACAGGTTTTGTTTAGCACAACAGATTTTCAGTTGTCATGCTGACTACCAGCGACACATTTACAAATATGAAGACTGGTAAGCCTGAATACTCAAGAGGGTGGCAATATACAGCAACCAATCTTTTGGGCGATAAAAGAGAGAGCATGTGCAAGAATGTTTTACTTCAGCGAGTAGATTTATTCTTTAAGTCAATTACTATTTTAAGTCAATTCTAGGACGCAGTAATACACATTGCCTAAAAGTCCCTCCCCCACCATTCACTTACGGAATAAAAAATGTAAAAACCAGTGGTGTCTCTGATGGTACGTCATACCCTTGATTATTTTTAGCCCTTCACTGGATTGATGATACCACAATTCGTCAGAAGTCTAATGACCATATATATCTAACTCGGGACTTCGTGGCACTAAACTGTGATAGTGTAAGGCAGGGAGTGACAACAAGCAAGGAAATGACTCACTTTAGGGCTTTACACGATAGATTGAGACCGAAGCAAGCGAAACGCAGATCAAGAACGGAGTCACCGAAACTACATTTGGATGTCACTCATGGTATGCCTAACAAGTGAGTACTTTTAATACCATTATTCAGACATAACTCTTCGTCGAAATAAGTACGACCCCATCTGTTTGTTTTTCTAACCACCATCCAGCTCTTGTCTTGTTATACAGTTTTATTTGCTCAGTAATAATTCACCTATTGCTTGCGTTGGCTACTCCGTTGAGTCCAGTGGAACTCGACACCCCAAATACAAGGGAATATTCAGAAGACTATGCGTGTACTTTTATTGATATGTTGAGGTACTGAATGAATTAAGTTTTCCCCACTTTTTAAACTACATGTAAGATTTGCCAACCAACAACAGGTGTGTGTGGCACACTCGACAGAAATTTTACCAGCAAATGTTCCTAAGGAATTAAATGAAATTGGATAAATTTAACCCAGTACTAAAGAGCTTACAATTTTATTCTTTTAAAGCATTCCAGTCTCAATATGAAAAGACGTCCGTTGAATTCTGAAGACGCTCTACATCACATATTGATATCCTTTTAGCTATCAAAAACAATTTAGAACAAGTTTCTACGCTCATGAAAGAACAGTACTTCTTCATGGAAGAAGTATTAGTAAACGACGACAATAATTCAACACGATTGGTAACATTATTATCGACCACAGGAACGATTCTTACTGTTTTAGTTCTAATTCAATTCGCATGCTTAGATTACAGTCATAAAAACTGTGTACGAACAGCATTCGAAAAACATCTGGATTACAACGAACTACTCACTTGATAGTTTGGGCTACTTTTTTTAACGAACCCTGATAGAGAACTAGGGCAATAGAAAAACCTATTCTGAAAACTCCTCATAATTTTATATTATCAATGGTCCAGCACCGCGTTATATTTGTAACAGCCGTGACAATGAAGTCGGCAGCTGAACAGAACTATCTCACTTTTCGTATGAGAACTTAAAAGATCTGCTGAGAGTGCATGAGTCTGTTGATTACTTAGCATGCTGGAGATACTGGCAGTGAAACAAAAGCACGACTTTTTACTGGCTGTCTTCATAACTTTCAAGTATTTCTACACTGAGAGTTTAGGACCCTGTCCGGCAGTCTGTGATCACAGATGGATCGACTTTAAACACTTATTGTCAAAAATCGCGATCCGAACCATCATCAGTCAATTACATGGTCAAATGGCCACATCTGCTAAGAGACTGTTTCGGACCCAACAAGATCTATAGTATGATGCATTACAACCGCAGTAGAAAACTAAGACCAGTACAGACTGAATATGTTGTGATCTAGAAATACTCAAGGGTGCAAACATGCATGGTAATTATTACCACTACTGAAAATTCATGCTCCATTAAAACCTAATTTTCACATTTATTTAGAGCCTCTACGCCAATTCAAGAAATCCTTTCAAACAAATATCAAAAAGACTGGATTGATGCACAGATGAGGAAATCAGACAAAATAGAAGCAAAATTAGTTGGACTAACGGTATGAAATGTATTATTAAATAACATTTCATACTCAGAGCATGTCCAGAAGAGTTAACCATCCTGACACAGATGCGATGGTTAAAAGAAATTGCATGAGGAAAAACAAAGAAGAGAGCTTCTGGAAGTTGAAGAGGTTTGAACAAAATGTAAGTTTACAAAAACTTTTAAATCCTCATGTTTAGACAATCTACTTGAACTGATATATACATGTGGCTAGTAAGACAAGAAGAATTAAACAAACATGTACAGGAGCACCCCACAAATCGTAATAATTCTAAGTGAACTCAATAAGCCAATGGCATTCGACAAACTATTGCGAAAAAATTGAGATTTAATACTTAGTGATGTACGATTAAAACTAAATCCTCACCAGCCAAAAGGATTGGGTAACTAGTTTGTGAAAATATGTTGACAAATCGATATCCCTTTGACAGTAAGCAACTTATTTGCCAGATAGATAATTACACTATCACTTGTTTTTAGAAATCAACCAACTGCCATTCTTATTCAGCAAAATATCTCCAATATTGACTAATATATTTGTTTAAAACAGTATAGGGACGTTGGACACTCAATAATACAGGTTAGTGGGATAACCGTGATTACCGACCGGAGATGCATCAAATCTCATCTAGATTTAAAGTCTCAATACCGTTACATACTTTTCATCACAAGAATTCATTCACTTAATTTAAACAATATTCCTTGTACTTAGCATCCTTAGTATTAGTGATGATACTATGATTTAGACTTGTTTGCAATGCATTTTGTGAATATCACATCGGTGTTGGATAATTGGGGTTGGTGTACAATCATCCCGGGTCCTAAGTTTATTCCGAATGAGTAATGACTAAATTATTTTAATCTATATTGTTTAAACACAACCACTTCTGTATTTTAATTTTAGGCTGTCGGGCGGATAAACACATTTAGAAACGAAGAATGTCGAAGACTTGCATTTGAAAAAGATAAAAGCAGTAAGATATCACGAATCGGATTACATGGTCATGGAATCCAACGTACAGGAGAATGTGTATAAAAACCTTTTGTCTTTATGCTGCAGAACTACGAAAAAAACATGTTTATTAGGAAACAGCCCAAAGTAAACTAGAAATCTGCAGCAAAGTTGTTTACCTTGAAAACAACAACTTCATTATTTAATTATCAGTTTTCAAAGCATTTTGGTGGTACGATAAGAATAAAAGGGCCGCATTCTGTGTAAATAAGGGTCGAGATAGTGCATCTCACCAAAATATTGTCTATGTTGTAGTGAAACTAAACTAAATGCAAATGAACCTTTAAAATGTGATATATCTGTTTTGTAACTAGACAGAACTATTCTTAAGGAAACAGTGATTCAATAGTCTAAACATAAGACTCTCATCCACCAACTCATGAGTTAACATCTTATTTTATCTAATTTACTTTAAACAGTAATAACTGTTGTCATGCGACACATGATCAGTAAACAAGTTTAAAAAAATACCTGGTTACAACTAGTCTATCAATAGCATGCTTGCAAGCTGTTTATCAATCAGAGTAAAACATTTTTACAATATAAGACATTTAAAGAGTACTTAAATTTGTACAAAGCATTAAGACAGAAGTAACTAAGGATTAAAACCAAGGCATTCAACTATGGAAGTCAATTTAACTGAGTAAAAATTTGGTTTTGAGTACCGAAACATTGTGCGAAAAAATTAACTGGTGAAATTAATTTACAGATACAGGTCGTTCAAATAAAAGATATAAGAAAGACTAGATAAAGTACCTAACACAATATCTCGATGAAACGTATGTTTTCACAGGTTTTTCTTATCTTTATCTGTTGAACCAGCTGAACCACACTGATTTGCAGCGCCAGAAGTTTGTTTCTGGTTAGTGTATATTTCATTTAATGAAAAAGCATTGATCATATTATCCCAAGTGAATGTGAATTTCTGTATTGTTTTCTTAGGTGTATTGATTATAGCTGGTCTGCGTGTCAGTTCATGACCTTGACGAAATAAAATCAGAGTAGGAAGCTGTTTAGACCAGGAGGATGTATCAATGTTGTGTTTGACGCCGACATCTGGATATCGTATTACATCGATTTTGCCAAACTTCATAAGATCTGTTCCAAATTCTTCTGACAGTTCTGCAAAAATAGGTTGTAGTTTAGTACACGCAGGTGACCACACAGTATAAAAAGCAACGAGCCATGTTACCTTAGGGTTACCACGAATAACTTCTTGTTCAAAGGTAGTATCTCGCAAGTATAAAACTTTATCGGGCCCATTATAAACAGGTTGTTGTAAAAAACAGGCTTGCACTAACCATAAAACACCATATAATATGGCATATACAACATTCTGTTTCCAGAACATAATTAGACTAACGATTTTAGCAAACATGTAGAAATGAGCAAGATAATCGGGAATAGAGAATTGACGCTTATTGCGCAATGCGACGAAGCTTCCTAAAAATATCAACATTTCATATTCTTGGAGATTGATGTAACAATCATCATACATCCATGTACAAAATAATGGGACAGTTTTTGATATAAAAAAAAGAGCGCTAAGTAGCATATTCACGATAAAGTATGGATGAAGTAGTAGCTTTAAATCCCGCTTATGTTTCATCTGTAAAATTAAAAGAAGGAAATAAAAATGTTATAAATGAATTATGGAATCGTATCAAAGTGATAAGATCGAAGCTGTAGTGTTGGCTACTATTTTAAGCCCACATAACTTATTCTAGCTTCCTCTTGAGTCACGTTTTGACCTTGTTAATTATTCACTTATCAGCCTTGACTGTTTCCGTATGGGCGTATGTGTGTTCATTTTCTACCTTACTCATAACATGTCTGCAACTTATTTTTATTCGGTTATAAATATTGATTCACTCTTGGTTAAATTGAGTTGGCTCACATACTATCTCCACTGAGCGTTATTTCACTTCGCTTTATTCCCTTCGACTTCTTCGTTTTATTTCTTTGATCATTTGCCTTGATCAACAACCGTACGAAATATACGTATTCAAAAATCCATTCTCGTATTTGACCTATCTGATGCCGTTATTCATCAACGCAAGTTGATAATTATATACGACTGGCAATATGTCCATTTCGATAATAATCATACGATATTACTGGAGTCAGATACAGCACTACTAAAAAGCCTCAATAATCAGGAATCATTAAAATGTCAATTATTGATCCAAGAAATAATCACAATCGGCCACAGAATCCTACAAGAAAACCAATGTGGTTTTCCAATCTAGAAGACTGAGTATGTTGCAAATAATTGTGGTCGTATATAATTTCAATATCAACTATTAAGACTTATCAGACGACTCATTTAAGTCATAAGCTTAAGTACCATTCGGGTGGCCCAAGTGATCGAAATATAATTTAGCCTGGGAATCAAATGGTTATGCATTTGATGTTTGAGACTTATTACCTGAGAACTCGAAGTTACAGCTTCCTTTAATCAGATTTCCAGCCTTCCAATAAAAGCCCTTTAGTAATATAATTTATATGAAACAAATACTCTTTTAAAGTGGGAAGCCTTATGGTCATTTTCCATAATTTTGACCTGCAATTTTCTACTGTTTGCGAGATTTAGATTCGAAAGCTTGAGCATTTGACTCTGGAAATCAGGCGATGAGTTTAAAGATTATTTAAACACTTTTGATTTAGTTTGAGTACTACCTATACTGGCTGCTAACCAGTCCCATGTTCATCAAATTCCTTAGTGCTAATCAAAGTTTATCAACCGAGTTGCAACGCGAATACTAGTACGAGTGACTTGAGATCATGTACTTTCAAAATTAAATGGTCAGACGCAATCGGCAAAATATCTTGAACCGAGATAGGGTGCTACATGTCACTAGTCAACAAAGTCCTCAAATGTCCTGTTGCAGCCGAGCGTGGGGCGAGTCAGCTCCCCCCATCAAAATCCTCCCACATGGCTACACGTATACAGCCACTGCCAGGGAAGTCCTGCTCACTGCCTTCTCGCGGCGGGGGTGTTGTTTAAGAAATTGAGAGGACGGAAAACGAATGTCCGGTGCCTTAAACCGGTTGGTGGATATGGATGATGCACATAGGGACGTTGGAAAACCCTGGTTCCAAACCAATGGTGCACATGAGCTTCAGTATCCTGAAGGAACATGGTGTACGAACCAATCGTTAATTACCGGCTACCATGGGACTGTATCTCCTGACGTTGCTCTACTACTTTGTGGATCAGAACTTTAGGTCCAAGGATCCGGGTTTGGGCACCCGGGCAGTATTATAGCCCAGTCAGTCAGTTAGCAACAACGTAGAACTTCGTACGTATGTACGTACATCAGTTTGAGTTGCCATACCACATTAGTGCAGAGATGCAGTTGTCGATTCAAATCCCGTAGTTATAGTGGTAGTAAGAGTATAAGCAGTAATCGGAAAGACTAGGGTTTAGGATGTTATTCAAGCAGTATAATCCAGTGAAATAAATTTGGAAAGAGAAAAAAAGGGACATGAAGAATTCAGATTAGAATTTGGGAGAACACAAAGAGTGAATGCACCTGCGCCATTGCAAACGATTTTGAGCCATGTCATTCAAGATCATAGCCCAGATACAAATCAAGTGACTTGTGTGGTGCATGTGTAATCGGTGCCCCTTTGTACTAATGTTTGTGTTCAAATAATAATACTAGTCAACAAAATGTACCTGTAATTATGATTCGAACTTGCACCATAGCCAGAGATAACACTTCTGAGTTGTTTTGGAAGAGAATGACTTCTTTTACGATAAATATATACATTACTTAACATCGAAATACAGTATAAGCAAAGTCGTCTCATTTCAACTAATAGTCACGTTGTGACTGGGTTGAGATTCCATCAACAATAAAGACTAAATAAACAGAACGTTAATAAGTTATATAAGGTATGTAATCGGCAAATACTGTAAATATCTCATTTCTAAAAGTGGTCAGTCTCAAGTTGAACAGCACAAAGACAATGTTTCTGAACGTGATACTGTAAGGCACAGGCCACCAAAAGATTAAAGATACACCTTATTGATAAGTGACAATTAAGAATACCATTTGGTTAAGAGCATCAACCTGACCGCCTACAATCATCTATCACGAGCAAAAACCCCAATTCTCACAAAGCAACCATGTACAATGACGCGTAAAGACCAGCTTTAAGATGCGTTGACTAGTTATTTAATACAGAGTTGTAGGTTATCACTGACCAGGTTGCAGGTACGTTCCTATTGGTAAAAGTATAGTCAGACTTTAAGCAGTCAACCAACTGACTGAAATGTAGATTTTTTATTTTATTTAGTTATTTGAACATAAATATTGGTATAAGGGGGCACCGTATATATATATATATATATATATATATATATATATATGCGCCAAACAAAACAATGAGAATGGGAAGAGAAAAAGGAAAGTAAGGAGCGTAAAAGAAAAAAAGAACAACTACAACCACAGATTAGTGTAAGGTAGTGAAATAATCATATTAATGGGGGAAACGGAAAGGTACAACCAGGAGAATTCTTTCAGTTAAGGAAGATACAACCACTTTTCATGAAATAAAAAAAGGTTACAGCAGGATCGCCAACGACTTCTATTTTGAGCCATATCTGATAGCGTCTCTAACCACTGTGTTGCACCATCTCTAGGACCACAACCACGGAGTCTTGAAGGACCAACACAAGCCAGCCCCTTTACAGCTTTCTTCCATACCACGACAACATATCATACACTGACCACCTCTCCGCTTTTTCCAACCAGTCCCGGAGTCGACAAATAATGCACGACGTGCAATTCTCTGGGATGACATTTGTGCAACATGTCCAAGCCACCGAAGTCGGTGTTTCAAGACGGTGACATCAATTGCATTATCGTCTCTGTGTCCGAACACACGATACCGAACCTCTGCATTACTAACATGGTGTTGCCACTGGATGTCAGCAATCCTTCGGAGACAACGATGATCAAACACAGAGAATCGTCTAACATCCTCAACTTGGAGAGGCCGGGTTTCACAAGCATAAAGCAAAACTGCTCTCACCGACGCGTTGTAGATACGACCTCTTACAGCCAGACTAACATCACGAAGGCGCCAAAGATGGCCCAGATTGGCATAAGCCGCTCTGGATTTCACTATACGTGCATTGATCTCACCACGAGATTGGGCAACCCTGTCTAACCCCTTTCCTTGAATGGAACAATGGAGAAGGTGGTTGTATGCCCTCACTCTACCTCAGGTGTTTGTATATAGGGCTTTTAGAATGTTAATAAACTTCTCAGGCACACCCTTCTTTAACAGATAATCCCAGAGAACAGTCCTGTCCAACCAATCGAAGGCAGCCCTGATGTCAGGAAACACTACGATTGTTGGCCTTTGAAAAGTATGGCGGTGTTCTAACATTTGGAGGAGGGTCAAGATATGATCAATACATCCTCGACCGGAACGAAACCCAGCCTGCTTCTCGCGAGTCAATCTTTCTCGGGTTTTGAACAACCTACGAAGTATGATGAAGCCAATAGCTTGGACGCAATCGGAAGTAGACTTATCCCCCGATAGTTGTTACAGGAACGACGTGAACCCTTTTTTAAAGATTGGGACAACTATCGACTCATTCCATGACGTTGGTACACTCTCTAGCTCCCACACCTTTGTAAACAACACAGTCAATTCCTTAGTCAGGAAGTCACCATCATCTTTAAATAGGGCCGTAGGTAGGTCATCTGGACCCGGTGACTTGTAGCGCTTCAAGAGTTGGAGTTCCTTGAGGACTTCCGCCTCATTTGGTGGATCAGTCGTCACAGGCCATGGAGGGGAGGGTAGTCTGATTGGTGTTGCCGGAGCAGCAGGCCAGTTGAACTGCCCTTCAAAAAATTCTGCCCATCGTCCAAGACGTCGATGGATGCTAGTGATTGGCATCCCGTCATCCTCACAGATTGTTTCGCTCACACAAGACTTCTTGCTGCCAGTGGCTCGGAGGAGTTGGAAGAGTTTCCGGCAGTTACCAGATACAGCTGCTGCTTCCAGCTCATTAGCACGCTCCGACCACCAGACTTCTCGGTCCTCACGCAAGCTTTGTCCAATTTCACTACGTAACAACCTTCGTTTGTGGTCAAACTCACGGTCACCCGGAGTAGACCGACGGGCTTCAATGAGTTATAAGGAGCCTGAAGAAACCCAGTGCTTCAAAGCAGGACGTTTCGCAAACCCACAACTGACTGTACCCGCCATTTTCATGGCGTCATGCAATTGCAACCAATGCTCATCTATACTTTTCGGTGGAATGGTAGCTAGCCTAGAAGCTAGCTCGGTTCGATACTTACTTGCAACAGAAGTTGCAACCAGCTTGCTAACATCAATCCGTTGGTGGCGGTCACTTCGTTGTCCACTGAAAAGTAAGGTAAGATTGGCGCAGACCAAGGCATGGTCAGAGTCCAGATAGGTACTCTAAAAGGAGCGGCAGTCTTGCACACAACCACACCAGTGGTAGCTGACCGCGATGTGGTCAATCTGAGTCCAGGCTTGAGATGCAGAGAGAGGACACCAGGTGGCACATCGGCGATGACTGTGCCGAAAGTTGGTGCTAGCCAGAAACAGGTTGTGGTCTGTGCACAGTTGCAGTAGATGGTCCCCGTTATCTGTCCTGCGACCAACAAGTCTCCATCGGCCACCTAAACGACTCTCTTCTGTGCCTAGACGACCGACCTGAGCATTCAAGTCTTCGACTAGTACTACAATATCTGTCGAACGCACTTTCTGGAGAAGAACAGTTAACTGGTGGCAGAACTCATCACACATTGGAATAAGCATGTTAACCCAACACTGGAATTATGAATTTAGTGCACAGTCAAGAATACTGCAAACTGTTAGAGCATAACTTTGCGATCCATAATTAACAGAACAGTCTAGATAGATGCGAAAAACAACAATTAGGTATTGAAATGTTTTCACAAAATGCCAAGTATCCCGGTGAATACACAGAGACAGATCAAAACATTGACGTAATTTTCGAAAACTACTTACATTTACGATGTGGGTATCAAATATCGTACATATCAGTAATCAGTAAGTAGAAATAAGGAGTGAAATATTTCTCATTGTTAGTTAACGACTTAAAAATATGACACTACGTGGCTCCATGTGCGGGGAAATAGTTACCTAGTTCTGAATTCAAATGAAGCTTTAGCAACGAAATCTTTGTTTCAAGATGACGGTCCTTCTAATTTTACGGTTTACTTGGCATATTATATCACCAAGATTTGGCAAAAATGGGTCACTAAAAGGTTTTCAATCATCACTTGATAAACAATCGGCTCATAAAGGTCAATAAAGAATCTGAAAAGAATGTCTATTAATTGGTAGACATTTGATATACACAGGATCACTTTTGACATCATAGTGATTTGCCGATGACTTTCGACTCCTACTGTGAATTTATTCAGATCCTTAGACTTACACTTCTTAAATTATGCTAGTAAAATGATAAGTAAAAACCGAACCCCAGGTAAACGTTTGCTGGGAAGTTTCCACACTTCTATGCTTCTCATAGGTCAGTGAACGGAGCGGAGAGAGATTGAAAACCTGTTGTTAGAAAGTAATGGTGAGAAAAGTCAAGTATCGTTTATCAATTAATGTTCTGGAAAAATTGGACTAACAATAACCAGATCTTTAGAGAACTACACTACAGACACTACCTGTATCGTGACAAGTGAGCAAAATATATGGTAGAATAATGTTTGTTTATTGAACTTCGAGTAACAAATTCCCGTTCTGCAAAGACATAATTAATTAAGCGTTTTAAAAACACTACGACACTGTAGCGTTTTCATGATCATATAATAAGTGACTGATTTTCGAAAATGTTATAAACCCAGTCACAAGGCCGTAAAGCCATTATCAAGAACAATATTTCCAAGAAAAGTTTTGATGTCATAACACCAATTCTGGGGGAAGGCACACAATCTGGTGTTAATTTTTGGGAGTAGAAGTGTTAACTTTGAGATATTCCCCTCAATAAGAAATTTTTGGGGAAAATAGGCACTACTTGCTCCGCGATAGGGAAAAACGACATTTCGACTATTGTTTCTGGTTTCCTCGGATAGTTTTCTTGGGAAAAAACAAAGGCCCATAAATAACATTGCCTTGTCACCTACAGGTCTGTATGTGAGGACGAACAGTATTATGAAGGTATTCAGAAGACAAATATCATACGGAAATTTGTGGAGATTGTAATTCTATAGTTGAATCCACCAATCCACCTAAGCCAGACGATCATTGAGAACCTGGAAGCACTAGATAGCCGTCTCATCCTAGCATGGAACTCCTCAGAAGTAAGCATCCACGATCACACATGCAAAATCCAAACCCAGGACTTTCAGTCTCGCGCTCGAACCTCTGGACCTCTGATTCGGGACCCAATAGTGCTAATGTCTAGCTTCAATCGGTCCAGTGTTTCCATATTTTCAATGGTGTTCTAGCTTAAGTCGACTGGTGAATTTAACTGTGAAAAATATTATCATGAAGAACGGTGATTGAAAATACCCACTTCTGACTACTAATGTTGTAACGGTTAATTTAATAAACCACGCCTTCAATCTACAATCCATGTAGTCTGAAATATAAAACAAGCAACTCCTAATATCTGAGTTACTGGAAGATTTTCTTTAGAACAAAATGATTCAACCCTCTCAATCAACCCAGGCAAATATTATACAGTTGCTTTGCTGAAGCACAAACTGTAATTCCAACCAAGTGTACCGATTATGGTCATGTTGGACCAGTGAATTTCTCCACGCCTTGCCAAATGCAGAAAACTTTCTGGAAGGAACACCTGTTTCGGCTTGTTTGAAGCTTGAGATCCCATAAGAGCCCAAGGACAATAATTTTGTGAGACAGGAGTAACATGTTCTAAAGTCACGCTATACCTAAAGAACTTCTGAATAATCTTTTTTTAAATTTTTACAACCATGCAGGTTAGGTATATGGGTCGGAGGTTCTAAGGTTTGTGTCACGTACCTGTTTTGAAATTATGGCTTACTATAGCTTCCTGCTACTCAGTTGGTTACCGATCCTAGGTTACAGATAAACTGAAACATACGCTTGAAGGATTCGCGAAGTGTTCTAGTTCCCTTAGTAACCCAGGATGCATTTCATCGGGTCCCATAGATTTGTTATATAAAGCTTATTTATCAGATCAAAGACATTGTCACAGTGTTCAGAGTGGGTATGAAGCGATGTATGAACTGCAAGGGAGGGCACTTCTACGGTATATACATTACCAAAGTGGTTCGAGAATACCCGAGCTCTACCACAATCGCCCCCCCCCACTAATGATCCGGTACTACTGTCAATACTGCTGTCTCACCACAATGCTGAACTATTTCCTTTTCTCTTAGTCTTTCGGTTTATGTACGAGTACAAGCGTTTAAGGTATAGCATAGACTCCCTAACAAGCTTGTCTTGTACAACATTCCAGACTTGCGGAGGGTCGAGACACAGATACTTCGAGCTTCTCGATATTGAAATGTTGTCTCTTGTAACATGAAGGCCTCCATTATTCTTCTCCCATCACAGAGAGTAGTGTGGACTTATTTATTGAACTGCAGTGGGGAATTTCTCGTACACCTTGATGTAGTCCAAGGAGTGTGTGGTGCAGCAACTTGTATGCATGATCACTCTTACTTAAGGGTGGGAAATAATAGAAGTGAAGTTATCTTCATAATGGGTCGATATGAGATCAAGTAAGGATGATTCGGAGTCCGCAACGCACCTAGTTGCTTTGTTCACACGCTGAATTAGAGCACATGTGATAACCGCATCAAGTAGTCTCTGTTCGAAAGGATATTCTGACAATCCAGTCCCTAGATATTTTGTCTGCCGTAGGTATACTAAAGCCTCATAAGCATAGACTACTTGATGATCAAGTGTTGAAACTGTCTAGCATAACCTCATTCAGCTCGCAGATTAGAAGGCTACAGAAGAAACCAATGAGTAACTCTTGTCCTTTGCATCTCAAGCGGCAACTGACTAATTTGCACGCCTCACTTTAACAGGATATGTTATCAATAACGGTAAATGAGATATTACTTTGGATAAATAGAACTACTCCGCTTTTACACTTCCACTAGAGTGAAACTTTAAGAATCACATTCTTAACTGTCTACGGACTGCGTCAGCCGCGTCCCTAAGACTGCGATAATTTCTGACTTGATCGAGTCTATCTGTGCACCTAGCACTGATAGTTTTGCTTTTTCAGCTTCTCGTCTTCCTATAAGGTGTCTTAATCAGCAAGTATTTACGGACAGAAACTTATGACCTTTTTAGTTTCTGTCCATTCTGTAGTATAGAGTCCCTTTCACTGAGAAACTTAAATACTACTTTTAGCAACCCGTTTCAATTATCTTTCAAGTCCCTTTCGCCACCTTTAGCAAGGTGACTTTAGAGATTTCTGGGTCATTAGCCGGTTTGGTAACTTTATTATCAAGTTAATATCATTTTCAATACGATTTCTGAGCTCTCACTCTTCTTAACAATATAAAAGACAATCGACTTGCCACTATAATCAGTATCCAATTTCTCCTCAACTCTTTGAAAGACTGACACTTCTTTACCAAAATTAGGTCGTTTGTTATTCTTGATTTGTACTCATGTAGTGGCATTGGGCCATGACCACACTATCCCCAAAGCTGAACACGAGACAACCGGGAAAACTGATATTCATTATTTGACGCGGAGAAAAGCCAACGATGGAGGGGGCGGGAGGAATGAATGGAGTACGAATCGATCGGACGGCATGGCTCAACCTTGCAGGCGTGGTCACTCTTAAGTGTTGTAACATAATCTTTTATTCATATTAAATATATTATTCTGTCTCTAGCCCAAGTTTATTCTCTATCATATATTGGTGATTGGTACGATGTGATGAGTTGGTGTAGAAAATGATGTGACTTGCACGTAGGATATTATAGATTAGGCAGTTACGGCATGACAAATGTACAATTTTAGGATTAGGTCTATTATTAGAACAGTACTACTATCATAGTAGACCATAATTCTACTCTCATTCATCAACTTTCATTGAAGTATCAATCATACATTCATTTTCTTTTGCAATATCAACTTATGCTGGCAGCTGAAACTAAGTAAATATAACAACTTGTATGCATCTAAAGAGGAAACAAAGGATTAAAATGAATTGATCTTATTTTCTGACGAACAATATCCTGGCCTTACTTAAACCAGCCAAAATATCTTATTTCACTGATGTGAAGCTTTGAGACTCCAACTAAAAACTCTCAATGACTATTGAGTCACAAACCCATGCTACGTGTAGGATTATATTTTATGACCACTGGCCAGTATAACATCTCAAAACATCAACCATAATCATAATTCGATCTGTCTCGCGCTCAACTGCACACCCGGCTGGTAGATTTTTACCTTGAGCCTACGGCTGGGCCCATACTTTAACTCCGCCTGTAGCTCTTATAGGGTTGCTGCCGGTCCCAAGCCCGGGTAAAGGAGGAGGGTTGGGCATGGGGTTAGCGTCCCCATCCCGTAGAAAACTAACTCGCTAAAAAAACGCTTACCAGAAAAAATAATCCAAACCATTTTAACTCTGCCCTGGGAGTTAGAAGGTCTTCATTTAGAAGAATTATGACGCTTCATGGTGAAAGCCGAGTTCCTTCGGAAGCCACGAGGCCGATGCCCCTTCTAACAACCAGAGCAAAAATTTTTATAGGTACATGGAACGTTCGAACAATGTGGGAAACCGGGAAGACCAGTCAAATATCAATGGAAATGAGGAGATACAACTTAGCAGTACTGGGAATCAGCGAAACCCACTGGACCCAAGCTGGACAGAAAAGGCTAGCTACGGGAGAGATGCTG